TAGTAGTCACATTTAATTTAAGAATATTTTATAGGCAATGTAGAGAAGCCTGTATGTAAGTTGACAATCCAAATGAATTCTTCATGAGCAAGCCTCAAGATGTTGTCAACCTCTCCAAAATTTCTAACATAGCCTTACCCACATGACTTTGAAAAAGCCATTGACAGCATGTTCATGCACTCTGCCCCAAGCCCAAACTCACAAAACTACAAGTTCATCAAGAACTGCAAGAAGCCCCTATCAAATGCCTTAAATATTCTATGAAGAGGGATCCTAGATACAGGAGTCATCCAACAATTATTAACCCTTTGAGGGTCGACAGGCCCTCTCCGAAACTCGTTCTCAGGGTCGGCCAAATTTAAAAAAAAAAAAAAATTATTTTCTCTTATGAAAAGATAGAGAATCTTTTCCCGATCATAACGACACCAAAAGTTTGAAATTTGATAGAAAACTTACGGAATTATGCTCTCGCAAAGTTAGCGGTCTCCGCGATGTTTATGGATCGGCGATTTTGCCCACTTTGAGCTCCATTTTCGGTCAATTTCACTGTACTAGTCGACAAAAAACATGAATATTTCGCTAGAAATCCATTTTTTCTATCGAATGGGTGCAAGAAACCACCCATTTATAAATTCAACTATTCAGTACAGTGGTCAGAATTTAGCAATTTTGCCAATTTCACACAATTTTCAAAAGATGCCAATTTCGGAATAGGGTCCAGAATAAACAAGAAAGACATTCCTGGCACTAAAATGACATTTCCTCTAGTCATTAGTCACGTCTCAAGGCCCCTCTTATATTCTTTTGCTTTCCACTTTGAATTTTTATTCTCACAAAAAATATAAGATTTACTGTTATGCAGACTACTGCATTAGTGTAAAAAATGGTATAAATATTTTTGGTGCACTTGTGAAAGAATATTAGACTCACCAGTTGACGTGTATTGCACGCTTGGCACGATTTGTTTACTTTTGAAGTTTGGTAAAAATCGAACATTTCTGCTACTTTGAGCTCAATTTCAAGGCACCTTTCATTGTAAAACCAGTCAAAATCTTCTCAATTTCAGTAATATGTCTTCCATTCTATAAAATGAGACCAAGAAAACTAGAATACAACAATAAATACTATACGAAAATACATTGCAAAGTCGCTGATTTATTAAAAAAAAATGGAAAAAGTTTTTTTTTTCTCATTATGCACCGTTTGCTGCAGGATTTTTTTTAGACTGTGCACACTGACCACATAGACCCATTCTTTCATATGAAGGCCTACCAGCTTTCTCCCACTAGATTTGAGGTCGCTAGAATTTATGAGTACTAGTACGTCAAAAACCCCTACGCGTAAGACGTACTAGTACGACGAAAACCCTCAAAGGGTTAAAAACAACTAATATAGCCCTATTCCACAAATGTGGCAGGAAAGCAATAGCAAAAAACTATGGGCTGATAGAACTAATATCACATGATAAAAAAATATTTGAGAGTTTTAAGAAGCAAGATCACAAACCACATGGATTCACTAAATTTGCACAATCAAAAGCCTATTGCAACTACTAGAACATTATGACAAAGTCTAGAAGTGCCATCTTGGTGTAATAGCACACAAAATGCATGCAAAAAGAATAAATGGAAAAGTGGGCAGAAGGATACTTAATTTTCTAGTGAACAGAACCCAGAGCTTAACAGTGAAAAAATTGAAATCAGAGGCTGCCATAGCAAAAAACTTGATTCCCTAAGGCACAGTACTTGCCTGGGTTCTCTCTCTCATTCTCATATCTAACATACAGAAGAGGTATAAATCATAGCACGGTCTCATTCTTTGCAGACATTACTGGAATCTGTATAAGAGTGGCATCTATCGAGGACACAGCAAACCTCCAAGCTAACAAAGTCTTCCAGTGGGTCACTGACAACATGATGCTCAATGTTCGCATCGCTATTGGGCCGTGTGGACGTGCTGCGCAGTAGCTCCTGATTGAGTTGGCTTTTGCGCAGTGGTGACATGTACTTAGCTCTGTGAAGACCTGTTTGCGCACTCTCTACGAATTAAAGCAAGATGCCCTCCATCGAGCAACTTTACCAACAGCTTAAGGAAGAATTGAGGATGGCGAAGATGGAGATTCGACGACTGACCGAGGAAAACAAGAAGATTCGTAGTAGTCCTCCTGTTTTGAGTCCTCAGGTCAAGAAGGGAAACTGGTCAGTGGTTGGACAGCAGGGAACGAAGTTGACGATCAAGAAGACGAATGGAAAGGTAGAAACGATGAAGAAGAAAGAGACTGCCGTGGAAACTGTTGTGGAAACATCTAATACATTCTCAGTGCTACCCGACGAATGTGAGTCGACTACTGGGAACGTCATGACGAATGACATCAAGGAAGGTAAGAATATTGTTGTTGTTGGGGATAGCCAAGTTAGGTATATGGATAGGGCGTTCTGCTTGAAGGACAGGAGTAGGAGACAGAGAGTTTGCTTTCCTGGGGCTGGGATGGAGGATATTGTTAGTCGTCTGGATGACATCATGAGAGATAATGGGAGCAATCCTATTATCTGTCTCAGTGCTGGAGGCAACGATGTTGGCAGACGTAGGAGTGAAGACCTGATTAGCAGGTATAGGTCAGCAATAGAAATAATTAGGAGTAAGGGTGGGAACCCTGTCATATGTGGTGTTTTGCCAAGGAGAGGAGTTGGAAATGAATGGTTGTCCAGGGCAATTGGCGTCAATTGCTGGCTGGACAAATACTGTAAGGAAAATGCGGTAACATTCATTGACAACTGGGACCTCTTCTATGGCAGAAATGACATGTATGCCAGGGATGGGGTTCACTTATCTAGGTCTGGGGTGAAAGCACTGGCAACTGCAGTGGAGGGAGCTGTTAGGACTTTAAACTAGGAATAGTTAGTGGTATGGGTTTTGGCAGGAAAACAGTGAAGTCCCAGTGTAGTAATATTACGAGTTCTAGGGGAACTAGTAATAAGCAGAACGAGGTAGATATTGAAAAGCCAGTGACTTTGGGTGATAAGGACAGTAATAGGTTTAGTAGAAAAACAGAAATGAGCAGGAAGGGTAAAGAAAAAGGAGAGTTTTTCAATGTTTATTATGCTAATTGCCGTAGTGCTAGGAATAAGATGGACGAGTTGAGATTAGTTGCTAGTGCAGGTAACATGGATGTATTTGCCTTAACTGAGACGTGGTTTAATTCAAAAAGTCGGGACATGCCTGCGGAATGTCATATTCAGGGTTTTAAATTGTTCCAAGTAGATAGAAGTATCGGGAAGGGGGGTGGGGTGGCATTGTATGTCCGAGATCGCTTGAACTGTTGCATAAAAACGGGTATTAAGTCTGAAGTAACACATACAGAGTCTGTTTGGATAGAATTTTCAGAGGGGCATGAAAAACTGATTTTAGGAGTGATATACCATCCCCCAAACTTAGATAGGGACCAAGGGAGACTACTATGGGAGGAAATTGTTAAAGCCACAAGGCACGATAATGTAGTAATTCTAGGAGACTTTAACTTTAGTCATATTGATTGGAATTTATTGACTGGGAATTTAGAATCATACGACTTCTTAGAAGTAGTTCAGGATTGTTTTTTGAAGCAGTTTGTGACAGAACCTACAAGGGTAAATAACCTGCTTGACTTAGTTATGGCAAACAATGAATCCCTTGTTAATAATTCAGAAATTTCAGAGGAACTGGGTGCTAGCAACCACAAATCAATTACATTTAGCATTGAATGGAAGTACGTTAGTAGCGATAACTCAGTAACAGTCCCAGATTTTCGCTTAGCAGATTACGATGGGCTTAGAGAACACTTATCATCTGTTGACTGGGGTAACGAAGAGAGCTATCAATATGACAGTTTTCTGAACACTATACATGCTGCTCAAAGAACGTTTATCCCATATAAAGAAATTAGATCAAATAGAAATGACCCAAAATGGATGAATAATAGGCTCAAATATCTACTAGGGCATAAGAAAGGAATTTATAGGCGTATCAAAAGAGGTGAGGGTCATCTTATGAATCAGTATATTGACATTAAGAGGGACATTAAAAAGGGGATAAGAAAAGCTAAAAGGGACTATGAAATTAAAGTTGCTAGGGATTCTAAAACTAACCAAAAAGTTTTTTCCAGGTCTTTAGAACAAAAGTTAGAGATAAGATAGGTCCCCTTAAAAATAACTATGGGCACCTTACTGACAAAGAGAATGAAATGTGCTCGATTTTAAATAATTATTTTCTCTCAGTTTTTACACAGGAAGACACTAACAATATTCCAGTAATTAATTTTTATAGTGGGCTAGAAGAAGATAAATTATGTAACATCACAGTCACTAGTGAAATGGTTGTGAAGCAGATAGACAGACTGAAGCAAAATAAGTCGCCAGGTCCTGATGAGGTTTTTTCAAGGGTTCTTAAGGAATGCAAAATGGAACTCTGTGAACCATTAACTAATATTTTTAATTTATCTCTTCAAACAGGTGTAGTGTCTGATATGTGGAAGATGGCTAATGTAATTCCTATTTTTAAAACAGGGGACAAGTCGTTACCGTCAAATTACCGCCCAATAAGCCTGACCTCAATTGTAGGCAAATTACTAGAGTCAATTATAGCTGAGATTATAAGAAGCCATCTCGATAAGCATAGCTTGATTAATGATACTCAGCATGGATTCACAAGAGGCCGGTCTTGTCTAAATAATTTATTAACTTTCTTCAGTAAAGCTTTTGAGGCTGTTGACCACGATAAAGAATTTGATATTATTTACTTAGATTTTAGTAAGGCTTTTGATAGAGTTCCGCACCACAGACTGCTAAAGAAAGTGGCAGCTCATGGCATTGGGGGAAAAGTGCTCTCATGGATCAAGTCATGGCTCACTGACAGGAAGCAGAGAGTGTCCATAAATGGGGTTAAATCCGAGTGGGGATCTGTAACAAGTGGCGTTCCACAGGGATCAGTCTTGGGCCGTTGTTGTTTATAATATATATCAATGATCTTGATGAGGGAATTACTAGTGATATGAGCAAATTTGCCGATGACACAAAGATAGGTAGGATAATTGATTCAAACATAGATGTTATGGAGCTTCAGGAGGATTTAAACAAACTCTATTCTTGGTCAGAAAAGTGGCAGATGCAGTTCAATGTAGATAAATGCAAGTTTCTGAAGCTTGGGAGTGCCCATAACCCTAGTACTTATAAGTTAAATGATGTAGAACTTAGCCATACAGATTGCGAAAAGGACTTGGGGGTTATGGTGAGCAGCAACCTTAAACCAAGACAGCAATGCCTAAGTGTACGTAATAAGGCAAATAGATTACTGGGATTTATATCAAGAAGTGTAAGCAACAGAAGTCCAGAGGTCATACTGCAGCTTTATACATCATTAGTAAGGCCTCACCTAGATTATGCAGCTCAGGTTGGGTTGGGCAAATGTTTTGTTAGTGGGATGAATTGTAAAGGACCTGCCTAGAATGGGCCAACAGGCCTGCTGCAGTGTTCCTCCTTTCTTATGTTCTTATGTTCTGGTCTCCATATTACAGAATGGACATAAATTCGTTAGAAAACATTCAGCGTAGGATGACTAAATTAATACATAGCATTAGAAATCTTCCTTATGAAGAAAGATTAAAGACTCTTAAGTTACATTCACTTGTTAGACGAAGAATGAGGGGAGACCTGATCGAAGTGTATAAGTGGAAGATAGGTATTAATAAAGGGGATATTAATAAGGTCTTGAGGATGTCTCTCCAAGAGAGAACCCGCAGTAATGGATTTAAATTAGATAAGTTTAGATTTAGAAAGGACATAGGAAAGTATTGGTTTGGAAAAAGGGTAGTTGATGAGTGGAACAGTCTACCTAGTTGGGTTATTGAGGCTGGGACTTTGGGTAGTTTCAAATTTAGGTTGGATAAGTACATGAGTGGGAGGGGTTGGATTTGAGTGGGACTTTCACATCAGAGCTTATTTCTTGGGTAGCATTGAAAATTGGGTTGGGCAAATGTTTTGTTAGTGGGATGAATTGTAAAGGAACTGCCTAGTATGGGCCAACAGGCCTCCTGCAGTGTTCCTCCTTTCTTATGTTCTTATGTTCTTATGAGGATAAGTTTCAATTACTCCATTATGGAAATAAAGCCTGGCATGGAGTATAAAGCAAACTTAAATAATTCAATGGAGAACAAGACTAATGTGCGGAATATAAATGCAAGTACGTGCATGTCAGACGATCCCACCTTCAAGGATCACAACTGTGTCACTATCACAACTGTAAGAAAAATGATGGGTTGAATAACTAGAACCTTTAAAACAAGAGATGCTAAGCCAATGATGATATTTTTCGAGTCACTTCTCTCTAGGCTGGAGTACTGTTGCAAACTAACAGCTCTGTTCAAAGCAGCTGAAACTTTAGACCTGGAGAATGTGCAGAGGACCTTTACTGCTTAAATAAGGAGAGGGGTACAATATAATCTACTCCTGGAAAATTCAAGGACTGATCTCCAATATGCTCACAAAGTGTTCTCCCCTGAAAGTAAAAGGCTTGGCAGATGGTGTAAAATACCCCAATGAAAAGCAGGGGTTCAATGAGTATGCTAAGGGAGAAGTAAGTGTGAAGGAACCAAGACTTCAATGTCCTCCCTTCATACTTAAGAGGGATTACCAACAGACCCCTGGCTATCTTCAAGGAGCTGGATATACTTCTCAAGTCAAGCCCCTAATCACCTGGGCTGTAATGTTTACATTGGACTATGTGCAGCTAGCCCCAATAGCCTGGTTGATCAGGTTATTTATCAGGCTGCGGGGCGCTGACCTTCGGAGCACTCTTTAGGCAGCTTAACACTAAACACATATTGCATTTATTTATTGTAATTAAGGGGAAGCACTAAACCCATTAAGATCATGTAGCGGCTATGGAATAAGAGGTAATCAGATGTGATCCAAGGAACAGGGGGGAAATTTGTCCTTATATCAAGAGCCCCTCACCAGCATCCATGAGCGGAATACGTGAAATCACTAAATAAAGGAAAACTCTTAAACCATTAATCTTCCTGCCTGCAGCATAGAAAATTATTATATCAATAAATATTAAATCAGTCATACACTTGGGAGAACAGGAGTTAATCAAGCTTGATAAGAAGGGGAAGAATATCCTTCACTTCCTTGCATCAAGTGTGTCACCAGAATGAAGGGTGCCACTGAAGGGTGCCACTGAAGGGCCTCACAACCCACAATATCTACCCCACAACAGCAAAATAAACTAAGAGTTTACTTGCCAGGTCCTCCTCCGAGCATTTGAGAATTGCCGAAGGTAAACGTTATCCATTTTCCTGCTTATGAGGTCTTGATTATCTCTCTTACATCACATCTAGCTTTATTAGCGGTCATGTAACAGTGATTTATTGATATCATACGTCAAGGAAGGTTGTGAGTGGAGAACAAGCAAGGAGAGTACTGTGCACGAGCTCTACTCATCAAACAAATCAATAGTATACTAATAGCATGCATGTCAACAACACGCAAACTCTTATAAAAAAAATTAATCATTAAAATCTCGCATATTAATACTATAAATTCCCACCTTTGCCAAGTAAATTTCAAACACAAACTTTCCTATTCATGTAATTATGCGACCATGCGTCTCTAATATTCATAATAACTCTGCACTTTCTGGTAAATTACTGGAACAGCCAGAGAGTTTAACTTCACATGTAGGGATCAAGTAGCTAAACATGGCACACTTATGTTGTATTGTTATTGTTGGGTTGCTCGCGCTACCGTCCACAGGATGGATATGGGGTGCACAATAAACTAGCCACTTCGGTGGCAAAATCTCTAAAAAAAATCTGTTATTGTTGTAACTGATAATAACATCAGTAATTAAGTAAGTCAATAAGTAAGCTAGAAATTAAGCATTACACATGGGAGATAGAAAAAAACATGTGCGATGGTCTTCAGGGTACGCGATATTTTTGTAAGTAAAAGTTAATAAAATATAAGTAAAGTAAACGTAATTAAAGGAAGTATGTACAGTAAGAGAAAGTAGAATACAATAAAATACGATACGGTACAGTACAATGCAATGCAATACAGTACAATGCAATGCAATACAGTACAATGCAATGCAATACAGTACAATGCAATACAATACAGTACAATGCAATACAATACAGTACAATGCAATACAATACAGTACAATGCAATACAATACAGTACAATGCAATAAAATACAGTACAATGCAATACAATACAGTACAACACAATACAATGCAATACAGTGCGTACGGCCGGCAGTAACAGCCTGGTTGGTCAGTCCGTGATCCTGGAGTTTACTTGGAGTTTACCTGGAGAGAGTTCCGGGGGTCAACGCCCCCGCGGCCCGGTCTGTGACCAGGCCTCCTGGTGGATCAGAGCCTGATCAACCAGGCTGTTGCTGCTGGCTGCACGCAAACCAACGTACGAACCACAGCCCGGCTGATCAGGAACTGACTTTAGGTGCTTGTCCAGTGCCAGCTTGAAGACTGCCAGGGGTCTGTTGGTAATCCCCCTTATGTGTGCTGGGAGGCAGTTGAATAGTCTCGGGCCCCTGACACTTATTGTATGGTCTCTTAACGTGCTAGTGACACCCCTGCTTTTCATTGGGGGCATGGTGCATCGTCTGCCAAGTCTTTTGCTTTCGTAGTGAGTGATTTTCGTGTGCAAGTTCGGTACTAGTCCCTCTAGGATTTTCCAGGTGTATATAATCACGTATCTCTCCCTCCTGCGTTCCAGGGAATACAGGTTTAGGAACCTCAAGCACTCCCAGTAATTGAGGTGTTTTATCTCCGTTATGCGCGCCGTGAAAGTTCTCTGTACATTTTCTAGGTCGGCAATTTCACCTGCCTTGAAAGGTGCTGTTAGTGTGCAGCAATATTCCAGCCTAGATAGAACAAGTGACCTGAAGAGTGTCATCATGGGCTTGGCCTCCCTAGTTTTGAAGGTTCTCATTATCCATCCTGTCATTTTTCTAGCAGATGCGATTGATACAATGTTATGGTTCTTGAAGGTGAGATCCTCCGACATGATCACTCCCAGGTCTTTGACGTTGGTGTTTCGCTGTATTTTGTGGCCAGAATTTGTTTTGTACTCTGATGAAGATTTAATTTCCTCATGTTTACCATATCTGAGTAATTGAAATTTCTCATCGTTGAACTTCATATTGTTTTCTGCAGCCCACTGAAAGATTTGGTTGATGTCCGCCTGGAGCCTTGCAGTGTCTGCAATGGAAGACACTGTCATGCAGATTCGGGTGTCATCTGCAAAGGAAGACACGGTGCCGTGGCTGACATCCTTGTCTATGTCGGATATGAGGATGAGGAACAAGATGGGAGCGAGTACTGTGCCTTGTGGAACAGAGCTTTTCACCGTAGCTGCCTCGGACTTTACTCTGTTGACGACTACTCTGTGTTCTGTTAGTGAGGAAATTATAGATCCATCGACCGACTTTTCCTGTTATTCCTTTAGCACGCATTTTGTGCGCTATTACGCTATGGTCACACTTGTCGAAGGCTTTTGCAAAGTCTGTATATATTACATCTGCATTCTTTTTGTCTTCTAGTGCATTTAGGACCTTGTCGTAGTGATCCAATAGTTGAGACAGACAGGAGCGACCTGTTCTAAACCCATGTTGCCCTGGGTTGTGTAACTGATGGGTTTCTAGATAGGTGGTGATCTTGCTTCTTAGGACCCTTTCAAAGATTTTTATGATATGGGATGTTAGTGCTATTGGTCTGTAGTTCTTTGCTGTTGCTTTACTGCCCCCTTTGTGGAGTGGGGCTATGTCTGTTGTTTTTAGTAACTGTGGGACGACCCCCGTGTCCATGCTCCCTCTCCATCGCGAGGCCTGGTCATAGACCGGGCCGCGGGGGCGTTGATCCCCGGAACACCATCCAGGTGTACAGTGCGATACAGTACAATACAATACAATACAATATCTTAATGACAAAAACATACAAAACATTGTATTATATTCTTCATAGTTACCAATCAGGTTTCAGAAGATGATGCTCAACTTTCACCTTCCTAATTAATCTGATGGACTACCTGAGAACTCAAATGACGTTAGAGAATCTCATAGGTGTGGTGATCCTAGACTTCCTAAAACCATTCGATAGAGTTAACCGTAATATATTACGTAAGAAGCTGCAAGTTATCGGCATAGGCTTTGAAGACTGGTTTAAGTCCTACTTGAGCTACAGGAAACAAATTGTTAAGATCAGTAGTACAGAATCAGAACCCCTGCCGATAGAATATGTGGTTCCCCAAGGTAGTATTCTAGGTCCCTTGCTATTTTTATGTCAGTGACATGCCCTTCATTGTCAAGTGTAAGTTTCTGTTGTCTGCGGATGACAAAGCTAGGCCTGAAAGAAGGGAATGAAGTGTATGATACAGTGTATCAGAGCAGAAAGAAAAAAGAAGCAGAAACATGAAGAAGAGAAGTACTAGTATGATCAATGGGATGTAATGAGAGGTGTCATGGCCCGAAGTACCTGGCTTACAAAATGGGGAGGAAAAATGGTGGTTTTCCATTGTGGAAGGATAATCCTTGAGACTGAAAAGACGCCGTAGGGTGTAAGTGAATGCCATCAGGCTCAACTGCTGTCAGTTTATACATGGAAAGCGTTCACGTCTGTTCGCGGAACGTGATAGGTACGCTATAAGGTTCTTCATTGTGAGTAATTAAATCCAGAGGGGTTGACTCCCTTTCAGACATAGCCCCACTCCACAAAGGGGGCAGTAAAGCAACCTGGAGTTTACCTGGAGAGAGTTCCGGGGGTCAACGCCCACGCGGCCCGGTCTGTGACCAGGCCTCCTGGTGGATCAGAGCCTGATCAACCAGGCTGTTACTGCTGGCTGCACGCAAACCAACGTACGAGCCACAGCCTGTCAGATCAGGAACCGACTTTAGGTGCTTGTCCAGTGCCAGCTTGAAGACTGCCAGGGGTCTGTTGGTAATCCCCCTTATGTATGCTGGGAGGCAGTTGAACAGTCTCGGGCCCCTGACACTTATTGTATTGTCTCTTAAAGTGCTAGTGACACCCCTGCTTTTCACTGGGGGGATGTTGCATCGTCTGCCAAGTCTTTTGCTTTCGTAGTGAGTGATTTTCGTGTGCAAGTTCGGTACTAGTCCCTCTAGGATTTTCCAGGTGTATATAATCATGTATCTCTCCCGCCTGTGTTCCAGGGAATACAGGTTTAGGAACCTCAAGCGCTCCCAGTAATTGAGGTGTTTTACCTCCGTTATGCGCGCCGTGAAGGTTCTCTGTACATTTTCTAGGTCAGCAATTTCACCTGCCTTGAAAGGTGCTGTTAGTGTGCAGCAATATTCCAGCCTAGATAGAACAAGTGACCTGAAGAGTGTCATCATGGGCTTGGCCTCCCTAGTTTTGAAGGTTCTCATTATCCATCCTGTCATTTTTTTAGCAGATGCGATTAATACAATGTTATGGTCCTTGAAGGTGAGATCCTCCGACATGATCACTCCCAGGTCTTTGACGTTGGTGTTTCGCTCTATTTTGTGGCCAGAATTTGTTTTGCACTCTGATGAAGATTTAATTTCCTCGTGTTTACCATATCTGAGTAATTGAAATTTCTCATCCTTGAACTTCTTATTGTTTTCTGCAGCCCACTGAAAGATTTGGTTGATGTCCGCCTGGAGCCTTGCAGTGTCTGCAATGGAAGACACGTCATGCAGTTTGGGGTGCCCATCTGAAAAGGGGAAGGACACGGTGCGTGGCTGACACCCTTTCTAAGGTGGGATATAAAGGAGGGAGGAACAAGATGGAGCGAGTACTGTCCCTTGGGGGAACGGGAGCTTTTCACTGTAGTTTCCTGGGATTTTACTCGGTTGATACTACTCTCTGTGTTCTTTTAAAGTGAGGAAATTATAGATCCATCGCCGACTTTTTCCCTTTTATTTCCTTTAGCCGCATTATGTGCGTTTTAGGGCCGGGTCACACTTGTAAAAGGGCTTTTGAAAGGTCTTATAAAATTAAACATCTGCATTTTTTTTTGTTTTTCCCCTAGTGCATCGGGGCCCGGGTCTTTGTGACCCAATAGTTGAAAACAGACAGGAGCGACCTGTTCAAAAATCCATGTTGCCCTGGGTTGTGTAATGAGGGGTTTTCCTAGAGGGGTGGGGACCTGCTTCTTGGGAAACCGTTTCAAAGATTTTTTTTGATATGGGATTTTTATGCTATCGGCCCTGTAGTTCTTTGCTTTGTTTTTCCTCCCCCCTTTTGGGTGGAGGGGGGCCCTTGTCTTTTTGTTTTTTAGAAAACTGGGGGGACGACCCCCGTGCCCGGGCTCCCCCCATAGGAGGAAAAGGCTCTTTGGTAGGGGCTTCTTGCAGTTTTTGTGAACAGGGAGTTCCATAGTTGGGGGCCCCTGGGGCAGAGTACATGGGCTTGTCATTTTCCCCTGTTCAAAAGCCATTTGGGTCAGGATAACATCGGATAGGCC